TGCATGTCACTAACTCGGCTTCTTCTCCGGAGCCTTTGTACTCTACTGTCTTGCAGGTTAACTGTGCCTGGATATAGAGCTTAGATTGTCCTTAACGTTAATTATAACAGCCAACTTATCGAAAAATGTCGGGTTTAAATTGGGCTCGGGCCCATAATTACAGTTAATTGGATGGGCCGAGCCAGTCCCGGACATGACATGCATGGGCTTGGGCCGGGTCGGGCTGAATTTTTTGGGCCCGATCTAAGCTCTACCTGGATAGTGTGACTTGTGTGGTTGTGCTGCTGCCGTGGTCCTGCCAGATGCCTCCTGCTGCTGCTGTTATCATTAGTCATACTTCTACTGTTATTATACACATGATTATTGGCACATACAGTACAGGCCAAAAGTTTGGACACACCTTCTCATTCAATGCGTTTTCTTTATTTTCATGACTATTTACATTGTAGATTCTCACTGAAGGCATCAAAACTATGAATGAACACGTGGAGTTATGTACTTAACAAAAAAAGGTGAAATAACTGAAAACATGTTTTATATTCTAGTTTCTTCAAAATAGCCACCCTTTGCTCTGATTACTGCTTTGCACACTCTTGGCATTCTCTCCATGAGCTTCAAGAGGTAGTCACCTGAAATGGTTTCCACTTCACAGGTGTGCCTTATCAGGGTTAATTAGTGGAATTTCTTGCTTTATCAATGGGGTTGGGACCATCAGTTGTGTTGTGCAGAAGTCAGGTTAATACACAGCCGACAGCCCTATTGGACAACTGTTAAAATTCATATTATGGCAAGAACCAATCAGCTAACTAAAGAAAAACGAGTGGCCATCATTACTTTAAGAAATGAAGGTCAGTCAGTCCGGAAAATTGCAAAAACTTTAAATGTGTCCCCAAGTGGAGTCGCAAAAACCATCAAGCGCTACAACGAAACTGGCACACATGAGGACCGACCCAGGAAAGGAAGACCAAGAGTCACCTCTGCTTCTGAGGATAAGTTCATCCGAGTCACCAGCCTCAGAAATCGCAAGTTAACAGCAGCTCAGATCAGAGACCAGATGAATGCCACACAGAGTTCTAGCAGCAGACCCATCTCTAGAACAACTGTTAAGAGGAGACTGCGCCAATCAGGCCTTCATGGTCAAATAGCTGCTAGGAAACCACTGCTAAGGAGAGGCAACAAGCAGAAGAGATTTGTTTGGGCCAAGAAACACAAGGAATGGACATTAGACCAGTGGAAATCTGTGCTTTGGTCTGATGAGTCCAAATTTGAGATCTTTGGTTCCAACCGCCGTGTCTTTGTGAGACGCAGAAAAGGTGAACGGATGGATTCCACATGCCTGGTTCCCACTGTGAAGCATGGAGGAGGAGGTGTGATGGTGTGGGGGTGTTTTGCTGGTGACACTGTTGGGGATTTATTCAAAATTGAAGGCACACTGAACCAGCATGGCTACCACAGCATCCTGCAGCGACATGCCATCCCATCCGGTTTGCGTTTAGTTGGACGATCATTTATTTTTCAACAGGACAATGACCCCAAACACACCTCCAGGCTGTGTAAGGGCTATTTGACCAAGAAGGAGAGTGATGGAGTGCTGCGGCAGATGACCTGGCCTCCACAGTCACCGGACCTGAACCCAATCGAGATGGTTTGGGGTGAGCTGGACCGCAGAGTGAAGGCAAAGGGGCCAACAAGTGCTAAACACCTCTGGGAACTCCTTCAAGACTGTTGGAAAACCATTTCAGGTGACTACCTCTTGAAGCTCATGGAGAGAATGCCAAGAGTGTGCAAAGCAGTAATCAGAGCAAAGGGTGGCTATTTTGAAGAAACTAGAATATAAAACATGTTTTCAGTTATTTCACCTTTTTTTGTTAAGTACATAACTCCACATGTGTTCATTCATAGTTTTGATGCCTTCAGTGAGAATCTACAATGTAAATAGTCATGAAAATAAAGAAAATGCATTGAATGAGAAGGTGTGTCCAAACTTTTGGCCTGTACTGTATGTATACTATCATATATTAATATATACTTTCAATGTATTGTACCACAATAGCCGTAATTATTATTATAATATTATTACTTTCATTTATGTTGTTGTAAGCTACTGTCATTACCGTCTGTCCTGCATCTCTCTCTGTCTCTGTCTCTCTTTCTGTCTGATTGTGTCATACGGATTACTGTTAATTTATCATGTTGATCTGTTCTGTATGACATCTATTGCATGTTTGTCCATCCTGGAAGAGGGATCCCTCCTCAGTTGCTCTTCCTGAGGTTTCTATCATTTTTTTTCCCCTGTTAAAGGGTTTTTTGTGGAGTTTTTCCTTATCCTTATCTGTATGCTGTAAAACCCTATGAGACAAATTGTGATTTGTGATATTGGGCTTATAAATAAAATTGATTGAATTGATTGATGTATACCTACCTTGTGACAAGCTAACTTTACAGCCTGACAAAATATGCTTTAAGGTACCTGAACACAATGGGCATGATGGGTTTCCATTTACCCACAGTTTTAGGTTCTGGGGGGCTGGTAACACATCATATCTAGCCCCTACCAGGAATCTAATACGATTCTCCTCCATATTCCACAGGTCCCTCCAACTAAGCTTCCTCTTCTCTACACTTTCCCAATTCAACCACTGTCCCTGCTTAGCTTGGGCCACTACCTTTGCACCCCTTAATATCTCCTCCTGTGTACCTATCTGTCCCACAACCAGCTTTCTTTTATCTTTGGGACCTGCTTTATTCCATACCGGTTTGCCTGAGCCAAGCCCCAGGCTTCCCCGGCCAAAGTGAACATTACCTACAATGTCTGCATGCCTAAGAGCTGCCTCTGCCTCCTGAACTGTCGACCTTGGGTTCACTTTCCTCCCCTTGGTTGGATTTGGAACCACATTTGGAACCTTACTCCCAGATAACAACAGCTCTGTCCTGACCTTGGTACATTTAAACTCCTCTGTTAAACTAGATACTGGCAGGTGAAGTATCCCTTTTCCATAAATGCAACACTACTTAGACACCTAGGAGCGCCCAACCACTTCCTAATATAGGAGCTAACCGACCTTTCAATTCTCTCCACAACAGATATTGCAATTTCATAAATTGAAAGTGGCCCCATTGACCTAGGATATAGCCCAAACTGCAAACACCACAACTTCAACTTTCCTGGAAGTTCTGATTTATTTATTCTATCCAATCTTTCAGCCACATCTTTTCTAAATTTCACCACCTGTTCCTCATCATTCAACTCCACATTGTACCACCTACCTAAGCTCTTTACTGACTTTTCCCTTATTGTTGGGATTTCCTCATCATCTATGACAAAATTTCTATCACTTAACTTCCCTCTATGTATTGAGATGCTTCTAGACTTCTAGGCTTGATCTTCATGCTGGCCCAGTTGAGGTTCTTATTTACCTTCTCTAGTAGCCTCTTTGTACATGGCATTGTTGTGGTTACCAGTGTCATGTCATCCATGTAAGCCCTAACTGGTGGAAGATGCACCCCGTTCTGCCATCTCTCCCCACCTTCTACCCACTTGGAAGCCCTGATTATTATTTCCATCACCATAGTAAATGCTAATGGAGAAATTGTAAACAGCAGAGCTTTTCCTCACAGCACCAAAGTGTCTGAATTAACAAACACTCACATGGTCAGAGATGGAAAGTGACTTCTTTAGACTTCTACAGACTACCATGTTTAGTTTGTTTTAGTCAAACTTTGGATGGAATCATTTTTAAATATGAGGACACATCGCTCTGTGTCTTATCCAGCCGCTCTGCATTGTGCTTTCATCAATATTACCAGGGGTGAATTTAGTAGGTTGGGGGCCTGGGGCCTCAGGCAAACTGCTTTGCCTTATTTTCACCATTTTCCTAACTGAGAATGTTGGTAGGCTGTTGGCAGCTGTAGATGAAGATCTACAGCTGCCAACAGCCTACCGACAGCCAACAGCCTGCCAACAGCCTACCGACTCACCAACTTTTTTTCTTCAGTAAACCTATTAATAACACACAGCAAAAGTGAAAGTCAAAGTCCTGCAGTCAGGAGAGGTTGTGTCAGCACAATGTAGTTACATTTACTTAAATTCTATTCAAGATGGAGCTTTTAATCTTTATAAAATGCTGGCTACTTTAATAGATAATAATTAAAAAATTATCATTTTTTAACTGTTACTTTTAGGGAAAATTTGACTCTGCAACATAACCAATAACATTTATCTGTCAGGTAAATGTAATGCTACAATGTTTTCCTCTTAAGTATTTAAGTTACATAAGTTGCCATGTATAAGTTGCTTTTTTAAGGAAGCATTGAGGGCCTTTTTGAAGTTATTTTGGGGTACAGTGAGTTACAATAGTAACATGATTTAGTATTTTTCAGATCTAAATATCATTAAATATCTACAACTCTTTGGGCCCCTTAAGTTGGGAACCTAATGCTACAGTCCACCTCTGATTATTATGATTAGCCTATTCTCTCATTTTCTCTTACAGGGTCCACCCAATAATTATGCTGTCCTCTACACCATCAAACTGTTTATACATACAATTTGAAAGTCTGGCCCCCACAGTGTCTACTTAGAAAAATTCTGGCCCTTGGACAAATCTAGTTGATGACCCCTGCTATAGATCAAAGGTAGGCAGGTGGGTCATTGCAGTAAACTCACTGCAATAAACTAGACTACACCACTGTCTGAAACACTCTGAAACACTGCCTCCGTCAGCTCAGAGGAGGGCTAGCGCAGCTGCCTGGTGGAGATCTGCACTCTATTGAATGCACTTTTCTGGTTTCATACTATTATTGTATTGAAGTTTAAAATTCTGGTAATTCTGGCCATGACAACATTAATTCTGAGATTTTTTTCTTTAGTGAACGCAATTGGCTTTTCTGCTCCATTGGAATTTACTTTTCACTGTTATATTTGTATTTGCTGAGCTGCTGGCATCTGTATACTGCATACGGCATTGTCCCCTTCATTTACTAAAAAATATAATTCTCACCTGGATGTGAACATTGGCTTCAGAGTCCTGAGCAGTCAGAACAACATGGAGTCTGTGATCTTTTCCAGCATTGCGCTGATAATTAGGAAGAAATGTCGTGATGAACTCCTTTCCTGTAGAACAGCCATGGCATACTAAAGAGAAGAGAGAGATTTTGAAAATAAAATAAAGTATAGCAAAAGATTAAGACTTAATACTCAATGTTAATATTGATGGCCCCCTACAGTACTACCTGTCAAGACTGCAGCACAAACAGCCAAACACACAGCGAGAGACTTTATTTCCATAGCTGAGAGAGAGAGAGACAGAGAGAGAGAGAGAGAAAGAGAGAAAGAGAGAGAGAGAGATACACAATAGTGAAAAATCATTTAAACCATATACATGTTACTAAATGAATAAAAAAAAAACCCTTGCAATCACTGTTAAATAATGTTATACATAGAGTTAAACATTATGTAAACTGCATACTTTCCAAACACAAACTGGCATGTTTCATTGTCCAGTTTTCAGTGTTTTCCAATATGACAGCACACAAACAATTCCTAAGTAGCCTATTTATACATACCTTATATCAAAAGCATAACAAGGGGAAAGGGAGGGACAGACTTAGGAGTGATAATGAGAGGAATAATGGGAGGACAGGCAGGAGGTCCTGCAAAAGCCTGTTTTCCACCAAGCCGTCTGGTACGGTTCAGTTCAGTTCAGTATGCATTTTTTGTGTTCTCACTGTGAAAAGTTGTGGATGGTACAAATGGAACAGTTCCTTACCTTCCCCATTTTTGGTCACCCCTCTGTTAAGGTACCTAGCACACATACTAAAAGATGGAGCTAGAAACACTGCAGTCCATTGATTGGTCATTGATCGGTCACTCTTCCTTAGGGCTTATGTAGCCACTGTCAGAGTGTCGTTCCAATGTTTTCTGGCAACACTTAACCCCTGCACTTGCTTGAGAAGGACTAAATGCACAAACCCACTATTTTTTAAATATCCCATCAAGAGAGACTCTCACTGCAGCCTGTTCTATTTTGTTTGGAAAATGTCGGCGTGCGACCTCTTCCAAGGTACCATGTCTGAAGGGTTACTTTTGATTCTAATATTACCATACCAGAGTCAGAGAGTGTTTGATGGAAACAGGGCTATAGTTTCAGCATGACAAAAAAGGTGGGGGCTAGACCTAGTGTTATGAGGTATGCAGATTTTTATTATTACTGTGTGTGTGTGTGTGTGTGTGTGTGTGTGTTTTAATGATGTAGCTGGTTAATGTAATGTGCTGATGGAGAGACACAAACAAAGTCAAAGCAGGAGGCTGAACAAACAAAACAGTAAGGTGTAACTCACACATTTATGGACATTATTTACTGTTAAGATAAATATTTTCAAAGCCACAATCTGTTTTTAAAATGTAAACAAAAAGGTTTAGCAAGGCGGTTAGAGAAGTTAAAAGACTGAACTCTGAGAAACTCCAACAGCAGTTTTCAGCTAGTGATTATCCTTCTGTCTGGAGGGGCTCAGACAGATCACCAACTGTAAACCTAAAACCTTCAACTTCATTTACAACATGTGCCTGGCAAACCAGCTGAATGACTTCTACCATTTGAAAGAAAATAGGATAGTTCCTCTAGTTCTTCTGGTCTAATTCCCTCTCCTCCTTCCCCACCTCAGCAGGAACCTGTGGCTCCCCGCAACTGACCATCCCAGAGGCCCCCTCCTCTCCCACACCACACTGACAACCCTCTCTATTCTAGAGAGTGATGTTAACAGACTCTTCAGGAGGCAGAACCCCTGCAAAACAACCGGGCCAGACTCTGTCTCTCTCTCCATGTTAAAGCTCTGTGCTGATCAGCTGTCTCCTGTGTTCACATTCACACACATCTTTAACACCTCACTGGAGACATGCTACCTACCAGCCTGCTTCAAAACCTCCACCATCATCCCCATCCCAAACCCCAGAAAAAACAAGGATCACAGGACTAGCGACTACAAACCCATCCCCCTGACCTCTGTGGTTATGGAGACCTTCAAGCATCTTGTCCGGGACAACACAGTCATCATGGCCCTCCATTTCATCCTGCAGCACCTGGACTCCCCAGGCACCTATGCCAGGATCCTGTTTGTGGATTTCAGCTCTGCCTTCAAAACTATCATATTGTCTCTGCTGCAGGACAAGCTGTCCCAGCTGCACATGCCCAACTCCACCTGCAGGTAGATCATAGATTTCGCATCCAAGTTTCCCTCACTCGCGTCTCTTCCTCGCGTCTTAGCTCCGCCCTTGTAGGACACGGGGGTGAAATGCCAGAAAGAGATGTGAGGAAAGAAGGAACAAGGAGATAGCCTATATCTCTCGAGAAATGAGACGTTGTTTCCTCTAAAGCGCCACGTGAAGCGATGTCCGTTTCTAATGACGGCGGCAGCTGATTACAGCTGAATCAGCAGTCAGGAGGCATTATTAACAGCTATAAAAACTTTTGTTTGTTGCTGCACACTCATAATGTTACATATACATACGTAATGATAAAGATACAGATACAGTTATCAGTAACAGAGCAGCAGTGTTTTCTCTGTCTAACAATCACCTTCACATGAACAACAACCTTGATTCTGTTTTTATGTCCTGCTCAGTCACATAATGTGTTTATATAATGTATTCATTATTTACATCTGTATTTATTGATATTCTGATTGTGAGTTCATTATTTAATAATCCAGAATATGACCATGGTGTCTTTGAACACTGGAAATAATGGAAGGCCTAATGTTTCAGGGAAACATTAGGCGGCGCAGCAGGGGGAGGTGTCGACAGATCCAGCTTGGTGCAGTGACAGTTTCGTGCCAAAAGGCTTCGCCGAAGGTGTGCTAAAAGCTCGCCAGCTGAAACCAGGTCTACTGTCAGCGGAGCCGGTGTAAGTCGAAGTTTGGCTGACTGGCGGACAGTGCGCACATGTCACCAAAACCTCACAGGCAGGTTTCCAGAATATCAGGCACATTAACGATGCAATAAATACCCAAAAAACACTATTCAATGCAACTATATGCAATCAGCACATAAATGTATCTCTATATCGACTGTCCCGTCACATCTGATGTCAGATCAAAGGGGATTGGCACCGTTTGGCACGTTTGGCACGCGTAATGGAAACCCAACCTGATTTGATTAACACAGCTGCAAATTAATGAGTTCACATTCCTCTCAGCCAACCACAAACAGCCACAGCATCAGATAGGGAGTATATATTCAGCACCTGTCATCTTAGAAAAGTCAAAAGAAAAGAAACAGAGTGAGACTGCGAGAGAGAAAGAGAGAGCGCATGCGCGCACGAGAGAAAGGCAACATTGATTTACAATTGTGGTGACCTCCTCCCAGGCTACATTTGCATCATCAGCCCATGGAGGTCTGCTCGCAGTTCCGTATATTCGGACACTGCGAGCTTGGACCTCCCGGACCAAAACATCAGTTTCCTCCTGGGAGAAGTTTGGTTGTCTGACACTGCTGCTCTCTTCTGCCATGGCGAATTGAGTAAACTCTCATTACGCCTTCGCGCGGCGCATTTAAGGGTGAGGAGAGGGGCTCATTTGATTGGTGTGATGTGTGTAAAACCCACTCCACGCCTTCTCTCCTCCCTCTTTCCGACTTGCGCAGGTAGGAGGGATGGAGGTGGGAAAGAGGAGTAGCTGCCAGGCGCATGGTATGTCAAACTTGCAAAATCTGCCTGGCAACACCCAGTTGGCGAAGTGCAGGTGCGCTGCGTACCCGCCTTGCCCGGTCTGCGAAACTAGAGCCCTCTGTCTTTGATTGTACCCATAATTAAAGTTGATGACGGAAATAACAGATCGTGAAGAGAAAAAATCTTTCTAATAAATGAAGAAAGTCGTTTGTTTCCTTTAGTTGTTCAGATTTTTAACTCGATGGTGAATCAGAGAACAAATAATATATATATCACTTGGGAGTGACACATTTGAGTTTAATCTCTTATCTGTCTTCACTCTGTATGAAACTCCAGTTGTGATGTAGGCCTATCAGATCAGTCTGATCAGCTGCAGCCCTGTATTGTCCAATCAATAACTGATATCCAATCGGGGGTGTGTCAGTCAGTAAAAGACTTCCGCGCAGGCTGCACTCGCATATCCTTGCTTCCCTTCCAGCTGACAGCCTCCTCTCTCCTCAACTCCTCCAAGTGCATTTAAGGAATTGAGACGCCCTACAAGATTTCTGGGTCAAGTGATCGAGGATAGAGGACGGAGGAGTCAAGGAGGGCTATTGGGATGAACCTCATGTCTCTGACTCCTAAACCATCAGCAACAGTTCCCCTCAAGGCTGCTTCCTTTCTCCTCTGCTCTTCTTCCTGTATACCAACACCTCCAGTCACCAGATTTTTAGGGGGAGATAGCAGGTTAACAGTATGCCACATAGAAGTGGCATACACCATATGAAAGCTGGGAACCTGAGGATTACTTTGAGGTGGAGCTCAGTGTGGCAATATTTGCTTGTCACAAATCTATGATAAAGATTGTATTTTGGTTGGGCGCCTATTATCACTGTGATCATCCTAGAGGTTACAATAGGTCCTTTTGTTAGTGGGGTCAAATTAAAAAAATGGTCTCATTACAATTAAGTGGTTAGTTATGGGGTTTAACATCATCACAGATGAATACAGCTGGTCTAATTTATCCACAAGAGTCTCAGTTTTCCAGTAATGTCCAATTTATGCAATCCCAAGACTGTTTAGGGACCCCAGTATGCAGAAATAGGAGGATAGGAAGACTTTCTTTATGCTTTATTCATTCACAATTCGCTCTCTATCCCACTCCCACCATTTCAGCTGACTATGGGTGTTCCCTCTCCTAGTAAGCCAATCAAACTTTGCTACGATTTCCCTCAGCCACTCATGTTGCTGCTGCCAAACTTAAATCATGTCTTTCTAACCCACACAGCACAATGTCTAAGCAAGCAAAAGCATGTTTAATCTGCACGACTCAGGACTTGAACTCACAGCCTTCAGGCATTAATGATAAGCTGTCATCAAGATAAGCTACCTCACAGCATGAAATTCAGGGTGACTTCACACT